CCCCAAAACCCCAAAACCCCAAAACCCCAAAACCCCAAGATATTTAGACAAAGTTGAGATGTTATATTCCAAGAGCATTTCGGATCCTTTTAGCATTGCTTGCATCTTTTTGTGTAACAAAATTTGTAACTTTCCCAGCTTTGCCCATTCTTCCAGCTCTTCCAACTCTATGGATATAGTCGTTAATATTTTTAGCGAAATTGTATTGAATCACATGGCCAATATTACATGTGTCAATTCCTCTTGAGAAAATATTGGTTGAGATGATTACTCTACATTTTCCTTTATATAGCTGATGAAGTGTCTCTACTCTTAAAGTACTTTCTAGACCAGCGTAGTAAGGAAGATTAGGGATCTCTTCGTTGAATAGAATTGAGCTAATCTCGTCGCATTGCTCTTGAGTATCTCAGAATATCACTGTGTTGTAATTTCTTTCAATGTCTTTTCTGATTAAACTCAAGAGGTACATCTCTGGGGCCAGAGGTAAATTATCTGCATCAATAAACTGGGTCTTGAGATTTGGGTTTCACTTCCCAAAATTAGAAGTCTGTATGGTGTTCAGATTTTTAAAACAAGAGTTTAGGAACTCTTCAGATTTTGTGCCTTGGATATACTCTGGCAGAGTAGATCCTGAAAGTAAGAATTGTCGATTATTGTTAAATTCTTTGAATAACTTATCTCTTTCTCCTCCAAACTTCCGAAGGATTTGGAGCATTGCATCAGACATACCTGGGTTGGTAAATAAGAGATCAAATTCATCCATTACTATCGTTTGAGGGTTGATATTATAAGGATCATATTTCATTGTATCATCAACCAGGAATTTGAAAACCATTGGAGTGGCCAACATTATATCATTAAGTTTCCAGTTTGAATTATTTACAATATTCTTGACCGAGACTGAGTCCATATCTTTGCTAGATATTTCTCTTTTGTTTCGATACTCACTTTGGGCAGTGATGTGTTCCACAATAGGTGAGAACAGTTGAACTGAGGATCCAACTCTATTTACCCTTAGAGTATTGGAGACATCCAATCTTCTGATCAAAGAATAAATCTGATTGAGAAGCTCTCTTGAGGGTCCGATTATTAGAGCACCCTTCATCTCAGATTTCTTGATCAGATTATCCTTTGACAGTTTCTTATTAGTAAACTTCCTTTCATAATACAGATCTTCAGCGTTGGCAAAGAGTTTTCTTCCTGATTTTGGGCTATTTTCAGCATCCTTGGAATGGAAAATATTATTCAGGATCGGTAACAAATATGCAAGAGTTTTACCAGAGCCTGAGTCAGAAGCAAGTAGTGTGTTTCTCCCAAGCATATCGCCTGGGAGCGAAATCGCTTCAGAATTCAGCACTTCTTGCTGTATTTCTGTAATGTATTTGAAGCCATTTCTTTTAAGGCCTTCCTGTAATAATGGATGCAGCTTATAATCCATGAAGGACTTCTTAGATTCAGCAAGGCCGGAATAACTGCTGAGGTATAAACAAGGATCTAGGACTTTCACATTCGAGAAGCTGGCCATTCTGCTTGAGAGGGACAAAAGAGGTTTACGTGATAAGGTTTTTGAGAGAAACATCTTATTTAATTAATATAGCCGCTGATTTTATAAAGTTATAAATTTGGGGTTTTGGGGTTTTGGGGTTTTGGGGTTTTGGGG